TCATTAGATCATCAAATTGGAGGAATTCTTTTCTTCTTCTTTTTTCCTTTCAAACACAATTTTCCAACAAAAAATACGTAGTTTATTTCATGCTAAAACTGTTGCATTTCAATGGGAAAAACTTCCCCAATTTAAAATATTCTTATGATTATTTACGCTTGTTTGCTTTAGTATCATTTTTTAGCTAAACGAATCATACACGCGGTATATGCGTAATGCAATAGCGGTTTCACGTTGGCCGTTGTTATCATTCTCTAGCTAGACAGGCATGATGATAAAACGACAGAGATAACCGAAATGGAGAATAACATGGAGTACTTGTATAGTAGTACTGTCTCGTAGGCTACGGAATTGTCAAGCTCCTCCAACTATTAAGCATGTTCATGTGTTGGTGGTTTGCTCACTTTCTCATTTTCCCTTTGGTCGACCAAGACCGGCATTTATTGGTCTTGTCAATTGTAAGGCTGGTGTCCCTCACCATCAGATAATGATACACAAAGGGTAGGCTGGTGTCAATGTTTGCCCATCCACTGTTTCATATGCACGAAAGAACATATCATCAACTTTAAATGATCTTTAATTGACATGTAATGATAAGGCGCTCATTAAATCTTGTATATGTACCAAATAAACATGTTAAATGAACTATGTTTTTCTTAATTTGATGTGTATTCATTACAATTAGTGAACATGATTAACGATATTGAGGGAAAGGGAATTCGAACACAGGACATTAGGTGCATGAATAACTGCTCTTAACCACTTAAGCTACAAGCTTCTTGTGTGGACGTAACCTAACTAGAGCGAATCATATTGTATAGCACTTTTACTCAACCTAAGGTACCTTGCATGTGCAGTGGCGGACCCAAACTTCCTTTCATCTAGGGGCTTAAAAAAAAATCCAACCGATATATAGTCAAACAAAAAATATTTGGGTTTAAAGTGAACTTGATGACTAAGTTCTCCACAAAATTACAGAATGAGTGTACTTGGTGAGATCTTTATTCTTCTTTTATAACATAGGGTTTTTCTTTTTTAATATAAACTTTAAGTTTAAAGTGTATGTATTGGATAGGCTATGTGGGGGCTCCACCTAAGAAAGACCTAAAAAAAAATTAAAAATTATGAGTTTGGGTGGGATTATACAGCTGCAACTTTTTTGTAAGTGTGGGCAAGTGCCCACAGTTGTCCTTCATTGGGTCCGTCAATGTGCATGTGGGTACATACCCTAGAGGTAGAGAGGATAGAAAGCACGGCCCCGTTTGGTTCACGGAATGAATTTGATGGGAAATCATTTCCCATGTCATTTCCCAAGGGATGAGAAATGTTGATTCCTTTCCCATGTTTGGTAATGCCGGGAAAGTGATCCGGAAATATCACTTTATTTCCTTTCCCATGTTTGTTTTGAGTAGGAATGGAAAACAAATTTTGTTTAGTTTCCCAATTGTACCCCTATTAAAAAAAAAAGAATACCAATAATTGTTGGATAAAAATTGTAATTATGAATTGTTAGTAAGGACAAATTAGTCAAAAAAAAATTGTATTTAATGCTAGTTTTACTTTCCCATGGGAAGGGAAAGTGAAACCCAAGGAGTAAGGAAGGATTCACTTTCCCTCCGTCGATCTCTAGCTCGTTCTCGTTAATCCGAGGAAGAAACGAAAGAGTGAGGGATTCGGGTAACGGTGCCCGGGTATTCAGACCGGAAAACCGCAGAAAGAGAGCCCGAATCTTCAACCGGTCTCTCCTCGGTTGAAATCCGTGGTAGTCAGTCGATCTACACATCTCGTTGTTCGGAGTATTTGACCCAAGTGAGATTCAAGTAAGTTGCCTCGAAGGCGTGGGTATTTATACAGTGGGGGTGATGCGGGTTTGGTTCGGGTTTCCGGGGCAGGGAGCACACAGTTTATGTGATGATGACGTGGGGAAGACGACAAAAAAGGCGGCGAACAAGGTTTCTGAGATATTTCTGCGTGCTCGATGTACTGTGGACGAGCGATGGAGGTGAGACGGCTGTATGCGAATAATGATGAGTTGTGAGGGGATTGGATGGTTTGGGAGGTGCATGAATCCAAGACCATCTATATGGTTTTTGTCTTTGGTCTGGTTTTGGGTCTCAATTTGCGTTCAAAGTTCAACAACAAGCATTTGGAAACGGTCCAGAGAGTTGTGATAATTTTGGCAAGCTGTGATTTCTCCCGATATGAGTTGACCCTAAGTTGACCCTGTGGCTCTTTTGGAAACGGTCCAGAAATATATAAATTACTTGCCATAGGCCCATAGGGGATAAAAAAGTATAGGATTTCTCCCAACATGAGTTGACCCTAATATGTTTTTTTTTTAGCTTAAACAAAGGTACAAGTGCAGTAAATTGTTGGCTCCCAAAAATGAGTTGACCCTCAACTTTAAAGGGACAATTAACAATACCATGGGTGTTCTAAACTTCAGATCCAGCCCAAACTGAATTAATGCTCCCATCTCCCAGGCCTATTTTAGTTTGTGTGTGATGAAAGTAAGCAACAGTATCTTGACATCTGGCAATCTTGCAACTTGACAGCTGTTCCTTTGTTTAGCACTCTGTTTGATGGTTTAAGCAGAGTTGTTTATGATGTTAAGCCCAATGTGTCAGCTTAAACCAAGGTGCAATAATGCCATTATTGAGATTATAGTGCAATAGAATCTTTCTTTATGATATCATAATAGACTATTCACGTGAGTTATGAATCGAGTGGAAGAGATTCGGGACACTTGGAGAGGTGAAATGTCAAGTCTTGTTCATGAATTGTTGGTTTTAGGCTTGGAGTTTATCACTAAGAACATGCTTGTCCTTTTTGTTGTGGTTTTAATCAATTGCAGCCTCACACTCTTCCCTTTTGCTTTCTGAAGCTGGAGAACAAGAAAAATACCAAAGCCTGCCAAGAGGTATGGTGCACAAAAGCCTGCTCCATGATCTTTATGGTTACAGCAATAGCATGCCTGGCCCAAAATGAAAAAGTGGAGGCAGGGACCATAGCAGCAATTACCCCAAATATTCTGAACCAGTAATACTAGAATCCTACAAAAAGTCAAGCTCAGAGTAAAAGGGATGATATATATGTATCTGCTGTTAGTGCCAAAACGAAAGTTACAGCTTTTGAGTGTGATTGAGTTGCAATCCCATATCTATTTGTTGAAGATCACCAAAAGATTGCCCAAGGCTCCACTAAGGTCATCATATCTATGATTAGAAAAGCCACTTTGGATGAAGATTTCTTCTCCATTTTCTCATTTTAATCAACTATAGCAAATGGGTTTTTCAACCCACCTTGAGATCTCGATTGAAAAGTTGTATATATAGTAGGAATATAGTTTCTTTAAAAATATATGGGTTATGTACTGATCAATATCCAAACCAAATAGAACCCAAGGACTCGTTAGGCTTACAATATCCCTCAATTTGGACTTGCCCAGAAAATAAAGCAAACATATTTGATTATTTAAAGAAAATACAAGAAAAGAAAGGAGTAAACATATTTGATTGAGACCCACAAATAAGTCATAATAAGCTTGAGTGTTTTTTCTTATACAAACAATATTGGAAGCGGGACATGATTTTAGGTGCATATGTAACTGTTCTAAACCACTTGAATTACAAACTCCTTGCGTAAGAAGCTTGTGCTTCTTTATAGTATCTTACAAACTTTTGTTAGTCAGCTGATCTCTTTAACAATTATTGGCAACCTTATAATATTGGGATCTTTTAGTATGACCTCAACAAGTTGATTATATACACACACATGCATACAAAATCTTGAAATGAGGCCATGCCTAGTTAGTCCTTGCTCAAAGTTTCAACATGGGTACCCACCACTGTAAATATTCTATATATATTTCTATTGGTGATCTTTTGAAGAACAGAACAAAATGTTCCCATGATTTGATGAAGTACGGATGCTTTCAAAAGCTAGAAATAAAAATTAAGTCGGCAAGCATAATGCATAAGCCAATATTAAGTCGTGTTTATCTAAGCCATTTTGTTTGTTTTTTGGTCAAAGAAAGAGATGGAGAAGAAATAAATGCATCAAGCCATCATTGAAGCTTAATTAAATAGCATGGGGTCTGAGGTTTCAATCAGTAGAAGTTTATTGTCATCTTTTTTTCTGGTGCCAAAGGTGTGAAAGCCACGTGCAGGCACAGTGCCATTGCTGAATGTTCCTGAACCACAGCTGGGTTGAGAGTGCGTGTGTATGTAGACCTCATGGCCATTGCCCTTTTCCACAGGGGACAAAAAACGCCCTCCCTTCATTCTCATCCACAGGTTATCCTCCCTGCATTGATTAGCTTCCTCTCAATTCCTTTTCTGATTAGGTTTGCCAAGTAAAACTTTGATCATCTGTCTATTTTACACTTAATGATTCAAATTTAGTGTTGACAAGTAATTGCTAGATTTGAAGTATTGATTAAGCATATGAGGACTTTGTTATTAAAAAACAAACACTAGCTTCACATGTTATGTCTACAGAACCCAACAAACCAGCAAAATGTACAGAGAGCAACATATAAAATATAAGTCATAAACTTTTAGACTTGTACTTTCTCGATTGAAAGGTCGTCGTGTGTATATAAGAAAGCAAATAATTTTGCGAATCAAGGGTTCAACATATGAGCATTTCGGTGGGTGAAATAGTAAAAAAGTTTGCGAATTATTTAACTTTTAGTTCGACAGTCAAAAAAATATCAACTTGTTAAAAGCAGTTATTTGATGTGATTTCCTTACATAAAAAAAGGATACGCGGAAGAGAAACACTGTGATTAACAGAGTAATTGTCAAATGCCAATAAGGAATCTTCTTGACTTTCATGCTCCAGAAACAACATCAATGTATTGTTTTTCTTCTGCAGCTATCATTTCCTACTCAATAAGGGGTGTTGCTTGACCCACAAATGTACAACTTAAAGATTCCCAATGGTCCAATTTAACCACTTCATTTCATGGAGAGTAAAGGATAAGGTCACCTAGCAAAGCCAATGCTTGTGAAGTAGGCAAACATATATATGGTTATAGTTGTGATCAATATCAAGCACTTTCTGCCTTCCTAGCACTTCAAAAATCTTATTTATTAATTGGTACTTTTGCAAGTGGTTGATTTATATATAAAATAAAGACCATATATCAGATATTTTTACTGTTATGTGTGGAATTTCCATTGACAAGATGTATTTATGTGGTTTTGGAATTTGTAGGCTAGTGTGGAGATAGAAGAGGATAGCCTGTCTGATATCAGTTGCTGAATTGTGGGCTATATATTCAGGAAGGCAACAACACATGCATATATTCTGGCTGTCCTGTTCACTACAAAGGGTCTAAATTATCAGCTAAACAAAAAGACGAGGACCAACATTTGTCAAGCTTTAAGTGATTTCTATAGCCAATCCAGCCCCATCATCCATTGCAGTAGCGACCTAGAAGGGAAGGATTAAAATAAAAGAGCTCCAAGGTGATTTCATCATGCATTGATTCCTTTTTAACCTTTTTTTCTTTCTATGTCTACAACATCTTCATGCTAGAAGTGGCAAGTTATTGTTTAGATTTTATCCCACTTTCTCTGTTTGCCTAACAAATAAGCTGACCCCAAAGAAGTGGCAAGTAAATACCTTGCTGGGTTCTTACAAAGGACTTGCTGTAATTTGAGTAGTGCAGAGATAGTAAAACTGAAAGCCATCAGCATGGATTTGGAAGCAAGAGAGAAGAAGGAGATTGAGAGAGAGGACGTGGAAGACGAGACAGTAATCGAACCCGAGGAGTTAGCTGGGACAATCCTTCCATGGACAGAGCAGATAACGGTACGGGGAGTCGTTGCAAGCATAGTGATTGGAATGGTGTACAGTGTGATAGCCATGAAGCTAAACCTCACAACTGGGATTGTTCCTAACCTCAATGTCTCTGCTGCTCTCCTTGCCTTTGTGTTTATCCGGACATGGACAAACCTGCTTCAAAAGGCAGGATTTGAATCAAGACCCTTCACCCGGCAAGAGAATACTATGATACAGACTTGTGCAGTTGCATGTTATAGTATTGCTGTGGGAGGTATTTGGCTTTCACATATTAAACTAAGCTTTGTTATTAGTTCTCTTTTCTTCTACTTTAAGTTGTTTTCATTTATAATTAATCTTTCTTAATCATTATATATCTTTATGCTTTTGGGATACACAGGTGGATTTGCATCCTATCTCTTGGGATTAAACAAGAAGACATATGAGTTGTCTGGGGTGAACACAGAGGGAAACTCTGCATCTGCTGTCAAGGAACCTGGGCTTGTTTGGATGACTGGCTTCCTTTTTCTAGTCTGCTTTGTTGGCCTTTTTGTCTTAATTCCTCTCAGGAAGGTATTTCTATATTGGTCTTTTAGTCTTCAGTTTCTTGTTCAACTTTTTCTGATAAATTTGATTTCTTTTGCCTTGAACTTTGAAGTAGATTTTTTTTAAGGAACTTTCCTTCCTTCACAGATCATGATAGTTGACCTGAAATTAACATATCCAAGTGGTTTGGCAACTGCTGTTCTCATCAATGGCTTCCACACTCAGGGAGATAAGATGGCTAAGTAAACATCTTCCAAAAGTACTCTTCTCTTTCTTCATAGAAAGACATGTTAGAATCAAACCTCAACAGAAAATTCTGACCATTTGCAGGAAGCAAGTGCATGGATTCATGAAGTACTTTTCAGTCAGCTTCTTGTGGGGATTTTTCAAGTGGTTTTACAGTGCCAAAGAAGAATGTGGATTCGCCCAATTCCCCACATTCGGTTTGCAAGCTTGGAAACACACGTACGTATCAATGGATTTTCTTCAATCACTCTTTTCCCTTGTTTCTGCTAGCTGTAACTGATCCTTTGCAAATTGTGGCTACTATCGATTGCAGATTCTACTTCGATTTTAGCATGACTTTTGTTGGAGCAGGCATGATATGTTCCCATCTAGTAAACTTGTCCTTGCTTCTTGGATCTGTTCTCTCTTTCGGAGTAATGTGGCCGCTTATTGGCCAGCTTAAAGGACACTGGTTTTCTGAGAGTTTAGATGAATATGACATGAAGAGTTTATATGGTTACAAGGTTTCCCTCAACCCTTTAAATTTTTATCCACTTTGTCCTCGTCTTGACAAAAACTTCCCTATCACCGGTTGTATACAATAAATCATATGTCTGTCTCTCTCATCCATGTGATGAGAGAGAGAGAGATAGATGTATGATTGTACACGACCGGTTATCTCATACTCACTGACTCACTGTTTTCCATAAACCCTTTTGCAGGTTTTTCTATCGGTTGCTCTAATCCTTGGCGATGGACTTTACAATTTCATCAAGATACTGATTTCAACCATCGTTAACATTCATGACAGAATGAAAAACAAGAATCTCAACTTGGGTAATGAGAGCAGCCTTACAATTCCCTTTCACCAAGAATCTTAATATGTTATTTAGTTAACAGTTATATTAGTGGTTCTCACAGAGACGCACCAAAGTTTTTACTAATCACCAACAGTAACTCTAATAGACATATCCACTTCTCTTCCTGCAGCTGTGGATGGCCAGGTGAAGCCAATTGAAGAAAAACAAAATGAAATCTTCCTCAGTGAAAATATTCCCATGTGGGTTGGAGTTGCCGGATACGTTGTCTTCTCCATAATTTCCATAATCGCTATCCCGATGATGTTCCCGGAACTTAAATGGTATTATGTCATTGTAGCCTACATGCTTGCTCCATCTCTTGCATTCTGCAATGCATATGGAGCTGGTCTTACTGATATAAACATGGCCTATAACTACGGAAAAGTTGCCCTCTTTGTGCTAGCAGCATTGACCGGAAAAGAACATGGTGTGGTGGCGGGGCTTGCAGGGTGTGGCCTCATCAAATCAGTTGTTTCTGTGGCTTGTATTCTGATGCAGGATCTCAAGACAGCCCATCTAACTTTCACCTCTCCTAGAGCAATGTTTGTGAGCCAAACCCTTGGCACTGCGTTAGGCTGTGTGACAGCTCCTCTCAGCTTCTTCTTGTTCTACAAGGCATTTGATGTGGGAAACCCACATGGAGAGTTCAAAGCGCCTTATGCGTTGATCTACAGAAACATGGCAATTCTAGGTGTTCAAGGCTTCTCGGCGCTGCCTCAGCATTGCCTGCAGCTCTGTTACGGCTTCTTTGCTTTCGCGGTGATAGTTAACCTGGTTCGAGATTTTTCACCCAAGATTGGAAAATATATGCCACTTCCCATGGTCATGGGTGTGCCATTTCTAGTTGGGGCATACTTTGCAATTGATATGTGTATCGGAAGTCTGATCGTTTTCGCATGGCACAAGCTTGACAGCAAGAAGGCTGTGCTGATGGTTCCGGCAGTTGCTTCCGGATTAATTTGTGGGGAAGGGCTGTGGACTCTCCCAGCTTCAGTTCTTGCTCTGGCCAAAGTAAAACCACCCATGTGCATGAAATTTTTGGGTTCCTAGTTTGAAGGGATTTACAAATGTGGTCAATGAGAAATGGGTAGCAACATTGAAAAGGGCACTTCATAGCGATAGATAGTTTGATTCTAAAAAATGTGACAGGATGTTATTTAGTACCAGGAAAATGGTAAGAAGTTGTATCCCTAAACAATAAAAAATTTCACCTTGTCCCCATCCCACTTTGGTGGGTGATTGACCACCACTTAGCAATATTCCTCTACATTTTTACTTTTATTGAATGGGGATAGTGGCTCACAGCCTCGTACGAATTGGAGCGATATTTGTGATAAAACGAAAAGCCTCTTCCTGGAAAAACCTTCATGTTTTTTTTTTTTTGGTTTGAACCACAAGGGGGTTCTGGATGGGCTCCAACTATGGGTGGCACCTTTAAGCCTTAACCACAACCCAGACTAATCTCCGCTCACACCGGGTCGGCCCGTAAGGGGTAAAGTGCTGGTCGAAGTGGCGACTCCATACGAGAGCAGGGATCGAACCCCTGACCTCTCTTAGAGCAACTCCACCCATTTGCCCCTTGCCATGGTAAGGGGGAGCTAGGGCAGCCACTATTCACGTGAATAGTGGTTGCCCTTGCAAATAGTATGTGTGTTTCCACCCGTTGCCATGACAAAGGGCAATTACTATTCATTTTTTTGTTTTTTTCACAAATTTATTTACCTAAACAATTAATTTGGATAATATTTTCGGATAAGATTTTTGGGTTCGTATGTGTCAATATTGATTATAAATTTCATATCTCAATCGGATAAAATTTTGGCATTTATAGAAGAAAAAAAATCAGTAATTTTTTTATAAAAAAAATTCAATTTTTTTCATTTTTTTTATTGCACAAAAATTGGCTGCCGTTGTATTGGAGTAAAAAATCTGATCGAAGAGCCCAGAGCGCAACACGTGGACTTTAGCGGCACTGTAGCGCGAGTACTGTAGCACTGACGTCACCCAACACGCGAGTTGGACCTCGGGCTGAACTGGCCTTCGGGCCAACCTGAGTTTGTGGGACCCACTCCTTGCCCGGGCTTGGGCTGACCGCTGGAACAAGATTTTTTTGTTTTTCTCCCCCCAACCTTGAGCTGGGGGCTCCGCTGAAATCGCTCTTAAGGAATGAGAGTGTCGGACCACTCACACCAACCACCTTGGTTAAACCTTCATGTCTTTGAGAAAGCCTTCAATAGGGCATATCGTATACCCTTCTTGGTGTGCGAGGAAGCGCATACGTTTGCTATGCCGGCGACACTCATGATAATCGGCTCTCTTTCATACGGTGAGCAGCCAGATCCAGCTCAATGCGAATGGTGGTCAGTTAAAGGATGATATGCAGACATCAAAAGAGAGAGAAAAAGAGTTGCAACTGTATGTAAATGTCAGTTTTCCTTTTAGCTTTCTAGAGATAGAAAGAACAACCAATTGAGTAAAATAATCTGACCATTCAGAGAAAAAAATGTATTGAACGTATCCAAATTTTATAATATACAGATTTTATTTGAACAAGTCATCCTCGATACAAAAATTATACGTCACTCAAAACAAAATCATGGAACTGGTGATACATTTTTAAAAAATTAAATAAAAAATCAGCCTGTTGTAATACCTGCCAGAACCTCACTCTTACCCCGCGCATAGATTGTGTAAACTAAACGGATTGCATCAAGCCATCCGTCAAGGAACTCCCATGAATCAGCAACCTGGAGGTTGAACATTCACATTAGAATGGGTTTTTAATATAAAAAGGCAATGTTTTCTGCCCCCTTTTTATGCACTTGACAGAATGCCAATACAATTTTAATGATTTGTTGACATTTTCTAATCATCATTCTACTCATATAAAGGATTTCTCTGTAACAAAAGGTGTTCCTTACCAGATAGACAGGTCCATGAATTGTATCAATGCAGAGGCCTGCACCAGGTGGTAAAGTCAGATCACCACATGATGAAACAGAAACGATATCTGGAACATCAACTTTTATAGCTGCTTCTCCTGATCTGCCAGAGATGCTTTGTTTTTGCTCACCTTTGTTAACCTGCTGAATGGAAGTAAATAAATATAAAGAACACATATAACAACAAATAGATAAAGAATATACCTGAAGTAAAATGCACACCTAATTCTGAGATTCACTGTGCACATCATATTTCTTTATTTAATACAATAAAAAAACTGATAAAGAATTACCTGTTGAAGCCCTTCATTATTCAAAACAAATTGTGATCGTTTCCAGTCGCTATGAGGTGCAATTGATTTCCCCACTGGTGGTGCAGTAAGATATCCAACTTTGAGATAAGGTAAAGGAAGCTGCAAAGATTGAGTTCTATTTAGAACATATACACAACCAAAAAAAAAAAGGCAAGAACTAAACGACATCAAAGTGCGACCACTGAGAGCTATGCGACTGAATGACTAGCTTAAATCACATGTGCATCATCCCCAGCCAAAGGTGATGTCCAAAACGAGTATGCACATCATGTATAATTCCATAATAAGGACCATTTCTCATGGAGAACAGCTAGAGACCAATATCATAACTCACCAAAAATTATTTATCCAAAAGCCTAGAGAGTTTATGGCAGAAATTGGTATTAGTACTTACCATGGATCGCACCAGCCGCAAGGCACTACTGTAAACCTGTAAGTAATTAAACACAAAAACTTAGCATGAACAATCAACGTTCACATCCTTAAAGGGGAAAATAAAATTAAGCAAATCCCCTGTCTCTCTAACTTAAGTGTTGTTGTTTTCTCCTTCTATGGTATAATTGGGTATTCTATTTTGAGAAAATATCAAATGAAGTTGACTGAGAAAGAAAACCATGGGATCCTTACATTGTAATTTGGTTTCAAAGCATGTGCAGCTGCAATGTAGATGGCAGATTGACTGTACAACTCATTAGGTGAAACTTCTTTGGGATTGCCAGATCCCCCAGTTCTTAGTGTGTCCTCTGCTAATCCATACTGAAAGTAGGAAGAAGAAAAGTTTTGGTGATTCAAGTTACATGGGATTATTAGATAAAATAACTAGTGATCTCTTGTTACCCGGTATAGAGGAAACTGATCCTTTTAATTTATGGAGTATTGCATTATCCTAAATTATTAAGGATGAGTAACAAACTAACCAATACAGTTCCAAGGTTGTAAATTGCTCGATGAAAATCAAACTGCAACTGAATAGCTGCGCGGAACTGCAACAGAGGAAAGTGAAATAAGTCATGGCAGTATAAATGAGGAACTTACACTTCAGACATGAAATTAATTTTCTGGTTTTCCCACCAAATTCAACCAATCATTCTGATGTCTCCAAACAACCATAATACCTTACTAATTGCAGTTCTCACAATTGTTTGCTTTTCTCGTGCAGGAACAATCGCGCTGAGTTCCTAAATTGCATAATCAAAGAAGAAAAAAGTCAAACTGCAGTTTGTAACATAGAACATAAATACATGCTGAGCAAGGGGAAAATTCAACAAGATTTTCTTTCTTCTAAAAGAAGCTAAATTAAAAGCCAATACTAATGCAACTTAAGATACCTGCAGAGCAAGTCCCCAGTTGTTAAGTGCCTGAAAGATATAACATGGAGTTAGTACAAAGAAACAAGTGGCAAACAACTACATTGTGTTCCTTTCATCTGGCCAGAAGGACTTCATTACTCTCTCCCTCTCTCTGGAAGAGGGTTCAAAGTCAATGGCAATAAGATGAACAGTCATATAAGAGGAAAAAACTGTACAAGAAGTTGGTTTTCTCAGAATATCATAAGAAATTGGAAAAGGCCTAATACAACAATTTCTTGCGCCATACCTGGGGACTGTTCCAGTTGAGCAAGACAGCTTTTTCATAATTTTTTGTAGCCTGCAAATCAAATTAAGAGATGGTAAAAATCACTTCACCCTCTTGACATTATGTTTTCTTACAGAAAAAAAGAACTCAAATTGGTTATGATTTGAAGGGAAATGAGAACTATTCCAACGTGATGCCAGCACAGCACCGCCATAT